TGTACAGTCCTGGCATTTGATTACAATAATGTTCAAATTTTAATATATTTTTTCCCTCTTTAGGCATATCGATCCTGATAACAGTCTGTCCAACACCTCTGCAGTCTTCTTTATGCGCTTCTAATAGATCTTGTCTGCTGTACCTATGTAGGCATCTTTCACAGAAATATTTCTTTCCTGCATGTTTTGTTTGATTGCATAATAGCCTGTTTAAACTCTTTATCCACGTATAATGATATTTACCATCTTTTTCGATCAGAAATAAATTGATTCTGGAAATATGTTCTGGGGCGGAGCTTATCCTGTGTACAACAATTCCTTTAGAAGAATGTCCGAAAACATTTATAGCTAAATTATTTTGCTTTTCCACCTTATCAATTTGTGAGATTGGTGTAGGTTCGTTTATACCATCAAAGTTGAGTCCATCGTTTTGAGGATAGCTCGAAGGTCTATCTGGATTTTGTCTGCGGGGAACTTTGCAGATCTTATCATTCTTAAACAGCCATCACCTTTATTTTTTACATTAATTATGGCTTTTTTTTCTTATAATACGGGGGAATCTATATAAGATCCACCTTTGAAAGGCATATAATTTGCTATATCTAAATTTAAACTATCGATTTTATCCACATCCCAATCCGAACCTCTATTAGTCCAGCATTCTAAAGTTTCTTGTATCCTCTGAATTGATGTATCTTATGATGCGCTTATAGTATCGGATTCGGTTATAACTTCTTGATTTCTCCGGAAATAAGGTTCGGTATATTCAGTGCTATCATCTGCGTTACTTTTACTCAACTGTTAGCTGGTATTCTATACTATTTTAATCATCTAACTCCTCGTTAATTTTGTTCAATACAATGGGCTTAACATCATTAACATCCATGTTGTAATTAATATCCATCTTCCAACCTCTTAGATACTTACCAACGCCGGCTGTGGGTACAAATTTTAACTCAACGGGTTGATTATTTTCATCAACATCAACTGATTTATTATTGTCTAGTAAATCAATCAATTCAGCTTTTCTCATTTGAGAATAACCTCTCAGCCCACTTTTTTTGGCTCGAGCTTTGAGTTCTCTAACAGTCTGGGGTTTGTTGTATTCCAAACCGAGTAAATCAATAAATTCAGCTTTTCTCATTCGAGAATATCCATGTAGACCACGTTGTTTTGCCAAAGCTTTCAGCTCTCTAACATAAGTCATTTTGGATATATATCTATAGTCTGGAAGGTAATTTAAGGTACTGACATTTACTACAATATCTGAAAAACTATCAGACCTATTCCAGTCAAAGTTGGTATGAGATTATTAAACAGTCATACACAACTAGATATTACATTTAAAGACAATTGGTGCATGAATAAAAAATCAGTCTATTCTGCATAATGCTACCCCTGCGTCACAGGGCCATATGACACAGTTGAACCAATCAACTCAACTCGAAAGGGTGCACAGGAATCACGCACGCACGAATACACACTAAGCGTTGGGCGTCTCAACAAAGACTATTAAGGTTCTTCAGACTGTGCATACTGAACTCGGTACTATAGATAAAGATAATTTGGAAGAAACCTCGAAGCTGGCCTCGGACAGACTCGGAGAAATCTTGGATACCTACTACAATAATTCGATTTTACAGATATCACCATACTCGGAGTTCAGTATTAGGGAATTACGAGGTCTTGACAAGGCAATGCAAACAATGCGGGGAGAACTCATCAATAATATCACCAAGCTATCTGAACACGACAAGCATATAGCTTATGAGAAAACAAAACTTGAACAGGCGGGTGATGAATTCAGTAGATGCCGCGTTGCAGAAAGATAGCGTAACTTAGAAGACGAAAGGTCGGCTCGCCTCGAAGCTGCTTCCAGTAATAGAAAGGCACTTCGTTCACAAATCAGTCGAATTCGAGAAACTATCGATGAAGTCCTGAACGATGACACCACACTGGCTGATAAAATTAAAACATTGTTCAGAGAACAGGGGATAACCATTGCCAGTATTTTAACCGCATTGGGATTTATTATATCAACTTTGACTCTCGTGTTAACCGGTGGCAGCGGAACACCCACACCATCCACACCTCCTAGTGCTAAAAATGGTGTAAAAGAGTGGATTAAAAAGCAATTAAAAGCATTAGGAGAAGCAATGGGAAAGCTCGCTTGGAAAGCCACGTCTGCACTTCCCAGTTTAATAGGGAGTATTGTTTCCTGGCTCTTGAATTTATTAGCTGAGACCGCCAATTGGCTTAGTCAAAACTTGTGGGCACTGATCGTAGCAATTGCTGGGCTGTTGTACATATCCGCTAAAGACTATTTATCCAAATCAGTTCATTAAGAGCTTTTTATCCAAATCATGAGTAAACCAGCCGCCACTCCACCTACTATAAGCGCTGTTTTTTCATCGATATGTTGTTGATTTTTAGCTGTAATATGTGGTTGTGCATCAGTAGATGCGTCAGTAGATGGCTGTTGTGGTGACTGTGGCTTGACTATTCCCGTTTCACCTGTGTTTGTTTGCGTTATTAATTCTGTATTAATTTATACCTGATTTTTGTTGATCGGAAGCAATAACAATGTTATTATTATAACCGATCACTTGACCGATCACTTGACCGATCTTAAGTTCCATATTACTCGGAGACACGTATAGTCCCGGCGCATAAACGTAGTCTACTTTGGATTGAGCGTACTGTAATACATGTCAACTGGTGAATTAATAGCATCCTCTACGTTTGCAACAAACTGTTTTTGTGCATTGAGCGCCGTCCCAGAACCGATTATTCCCGTTCGTGTTTGCGATTGTGCACCAAGAATTGCCCATACATAAGTTCTAATTGATTCATTAACTCTTACAACTCATGGGTTAGTAAAATTATTTTCTGATTTATCATTAAGAAATTCATTCCAAGCATTTGCGGTATCATTCAGTTTGTAATGATATAAATTAAACCACTCTTAAAACTCATAATATCACCTCTCCAATCATTATTCGAAAGTGCCCAGTCTTTATACCAATGATGGGTTTTTAGTAAAAAATCATACATTCTTATGTAAAGTTTGCTCGTATTCAACAACTTAATTGCATTAAACGGACCTTTGTTATCTTCTTTAAATAAATCATCGCTTTCTTCTTTGACGGTTATTTTCCCTGTGTAAGGAACGCCTAAACCATGGTTAATTCCTTTAATACGCCAATCTTTACTTGTAGAAACATTAAATTCCTGACAAATACATTAGAATGCCCATCTATTGTATGGATTATTTGTGGAATTCCATACTCTATCCTGCGGTAATGGAGCACTAATTTTTTTAAGAATACGTCTGATCTGATAGTACACGTGAAATGATAAAACAGACTTATTTAGTTCAAATCCTGGGGCATAAAGAGATACACCACATCCTGTTGTGGCACACCATATGGCAAAGTTTAATAGGTTCTGCCAAAACTGCATCGGATTGTGGAACCAGTCATGCACCATTTTATCGCTTGTTGCCATGACCCTGTATTTTTCAAAGATATCAGGGAATTTAACAAAAAACTCAGCACAAGAGGCACTTACTAAAATCGGCTGATTCGTAATGTAACTCGATTTCATATTTAAGTTATGATATAGTATCTTTGTATATTTGATATGTATGTTACACTCCCGGGAATAACAAATGGCCAGTCTATTATACTGCTTCATACTATCGATAACTCAGCTGGTCAACTTGAAGACGCTCTATGCGATGTAACGTATTACCTGCGGTGGACCAGTATAAGTGCTGCGAGAGATAATAATGAGATTTATTTAGGTGGAGTACTTCGCTTTATATCTGATGCGTATGCTCACTCAATGATGAAATTTTTAAGCCTTTGGGAGTTAGTCTCACACAAAATGAGTCGAATGTGATGCTGATTTTAAACTGTGGAGAAAATCAAATATTTATTGAAAAGAACATAGAAAAATACACTTGGATTTTATTGGCTAAGCCCAATAATACCACCCAACGAAACACAGCATGGAATTAAATTACCCGATTTAGTTCCCTATAAAGAGTTGTGCATCCATCTTGATCAGATCAGTACAACGGATAATATTCAACTAGAAAGTCCATCAACTCTGCTGAGAGCTATTCCAGTCAAAGATGAAAAATATAATAGCGGTAGAATGAATCTTTCTCAACATTACAATATAAAAAATTAAAGCGTGGTATTATTTCAGACCTCAAAATTTCTGTATTAGATGTACACCAATCTGTACATATAGGATACTTGAGTGTAACACTCCATATTATAAATAATGGTTGATTCATTAGGCCCTGGATCGCATAACCTTAGACAATGTAATACAATTGCGGTTTCCGATCTCGGAGACACAGAGGGATTGGGTAAACCCGGTACCGATGGCAAGTTATACGCTTTACACTTACAAGATAATGTATACAAGTGGAAAGAAGTTACATTCACGGGTAATCTAGGAGATTTAAGTGATGTCGATGGCAAGTTATACGCTTTACACTTACAAGATAATGTATACAAGTGGAAAGAAGTTACATTCACGGGTAATCTAGGAGATTTAAGTGATGTCGATGGCAAGTTATACGCTTTACACTTACAAGATAATGTATACAAGTGGAAAGAAGTTACATTCACGGGTAATCTAGGAGATTTAAGTGATGTCGACGTTAGTAGACTCAATAAAAACACTTCCTATTATCTTACTTGCAATGATGGTAATAAATGGACTATGGTCGAAGCAAAAATCGAGTGGCTACTGAATATCGTCTACAATTATTATTGAAGTCTTGTTTGGGGATGCACCGGAAGATGCCTTCGAAATGTTACCGGGTCTATCAATTAAATGGCTTAAGATACATGAGCGTCGACGTTGCAGTATTATTTATATGGGAGTATCACCCATTGCAACCCTTGAGGGGGTCCAAATTATTAAAGGTGATAGCATTTCTCTTACTAAGATATTTATGCCGTATAAGATACATTTAATAAGGTTGATGTATACTCTCAAAACATTGAAGCAAGACCAGGACCCGGTTGTATCAAAGCCTCATTAACTAATGGCTACATTAAACCCTAATGATACATTAAATGCTTAATGCACCATTAGTTAATGGCATCATTAAAATCGGTTGTATCAAACGTTTATTAGCATATCATTATCTAATGATGCCTTAATGTAAGTGTCTTCATTAACCTGTCATTAAATTCGGTGTTTCCCCTAAATATTTCCCACAATTCCTTGATGTAAACACGTACGCGTTACTTCCGGTCGTCTGTCAAAATGGCATCGTATCCACCTAAACCTAGGAATAAAAACAAGAATTTCGACAGCTCCGAAATTCAGCTTATTGCCGAGTTGGTGGAGAAACACATCTCCATACTTAACAGTAAGTTGTGTAGCACTGTCACCCACGAAAGAAAGAAGGCTATTTGGGCTCTCGGTGTTTGTCAGCGTACGACAAAAGAAATAAAAACAAAATGGACGAACATGCACCAGGCGGCCAAAAGGGAATTCAGTAACAGACAGCTGGACATGAGGAAGACCGGGGGAGGGCCCTGTATTGCCCCACTTTCCACGACGAGTGAAAAGATAGTGGACATTTACAAGGAGCGTCCAAGTTTCACTGGACTCACGGGCATCGAATCGGACGATCTAGTGATGCAAATGGGTATGTCGCCTGCATTCAATAAAATATCGATACACAAATTGTTGTAAGTGTTAAAAAAGTACTTTACATGATACAACGAACTAGTAGCCTAATCAGCTGTTCATACACGTTGAACAAGGATATGGGGAATCGGGTATTGCACATGATTTGATGATCATTAATCAAAAGGAAATGAAAAAAGAACATTTAACCAACCTTTTTGACAACACTTTCAATTACATTGCTGCGTGTGATAAAATACACAGTGCATATTTACATTTGTAATGGTATTTCTCATCCGTTCTCCGACAGGCAGCCATTGTGGAAAGAAAAGGGGGGGCAACTCTCATTACCCCTATTCCAAACCAAGAAATTCATGTTGTGTCTTTCGATGTTAAGTTCAAATCTTGACATTCTTCGTCTCTAAATGCAAATTTTATGTGAAGCATTTATACTTTTCATGAGAGAATTTTCTTATGACAACGAAAATTGGTTGAAAAAATATGTCACATTATAGCAGTCATTTTTCTGAAGGTGGCTGCAGACATAAAATAGGCCGTGTCATCACACAAATGTATCATACAATTCTAATATATCATTTCCTTTGGTAATAAAACAAATGATAATAACCCTGGTGCCATACCTCTCCCGTTTTAACAGTAAAAATATTAATTATATTATTAACTGATGTTCAATAAGTGTGCAAAAAACTTAATGTGTGTGCAGGTACGGAAGTCGCCGATGTAATTGGCTCTCCTTCGACTTTACACCTGTTAGCACGGGCTTTAGAAGAAAATGTTTGCGATGTCCCTACTCAGGAAGCGTCTGTGCCCAGTTGTTCCAGCACACAGATCTACCCGGAAGGAGAACTGTCTGTCGACGCATCTGCATTACATGACGACATTAGTACCATCGAAGAGTATGTCCTGTTAATTAATACTGGAATCTTACTTCTTGCAGCAATGCTAACAAACATGTAGTGCCAAGTCCTTTTCTCTACTCGCCCATCCCTTAGATTGAAACACTCATACTTATTTTGGCCTTTAACACACGCGTATATAGCGTAACATTCACTGTATATACACACGGAGACTCGCATGATCCAAAAACAATGTATTTTTTCAGGCCTTTGGTCCAGACTGGGGGAAAATCAAATCGTGTCAAGAGAAAGATCAAACAGGATGACATCACCAGACTGCAGTATGAGGTTTTGCTTGAGCAGAAAAAGAAAGTCATTCAGCAAACCATTTACTTTGAGCTCATGAACAAGAAGCTCCGATTGGAGTTGGATAGCTTGATGCACCATGAATGAAAACGACATCCTCATGTTTGAAATGTTACTAAGAGTTCATTAAAAAAATACAATTAGTTTGATAGTGTGCTACACAATGTTGTGTTGTATATTGTATAGCTTCAGTTTGAACGAACGGGAGATAACTAACAATGTCAATTCTAATAAATTGTTATCCATCTTCTACTTTATACTACATACAAGTAACCAAACACGTATCACTTCGGTAGATTGCTGGGTGCTCTTTACGTATGTAGCTGTCAATAACGATGAGTTGATGAGATAAGCCGATCAGTTAATACATGATTTCGACGAAATTTATGTAAACCATATTCAATAAAATTAATGTGATAGACTCATTGCTAAAGATACACAAAGAACCTTACATGCTCACCGTGAAGTCTTGGCGTTGTGCAACAAATTCAAACTCATTGTATCCGTGTAGCGTTTAGCTGTATTTTTTCTGAAGGGAAATGTGCACTGTGTACCCTGGACGATATTTACGCAGTAATCTAAATTTTAGTTAAACAAAGCTGGGAAACTATATCCCTTTGATTCAACACGAAAAGACAAAAGTGCACGCAAAAGATTTTGGTTAAATATTTGTAAAAATTATAATTGCACGCATTGGCAAATACATACTGCGAACACTGTCAACTAATTTCTTCAGTGACAACAGATGGTATCTCTGCATTCTTCTGTATAGTTGTATTAAAGCAGAGACAGTTTGATCATTTCAGTTAGTGAAATAGTGCCTTGTGATATAATCACGGATGCCCCGTCCATCTTCGGGACCTGTATATTGCCCTTCAATGTTACTGTCGTCCTCTCCATCAACATCCAGCATGGGTTCACGAAGAATTATTGCCAGATTATGCAGCACAGCACAAGCACCTGTGAAATATAGTATGATTGTTTAAAGGGTCTACAGTATTGTTATCATTCGATTCTGCTTGAACGTTGATCGAATGGTAGCCTTTCCTATTGACAAAGGCAGGTTCGCTGTCTGATGGTGCCTGTATCCGTACATGTGTCCCATCGATACATCCGATGACTCCAGGAAATCGAGATATATTGTAGAATTCCTTTCTAATGTGGCCTATTTCCCTCTCGGACGGCCAGGTAATAAACTTGGGCACAAGAGACGCAATGGCAAGGGAAACTTTCCTGACAACTGGTGAGGCTGTTGATTTGTCTATCCCTATTGTGTCGCCAGTGATTTGCAGGAAACTTCCACTTGCAAAAAAACGTTGGGCTACCAGAACCTGATAAAATGATTATAAAGAGGCTAATGATAGGTTTGACAAATTTTCAAATATTTCCATAATACTTATATCCACTTTGTTATTTATTTGGCTGCGTTTTCATTATGTCTCACTAAGTAAAGTGTTAATTATTGATATAAGATGTGCATGCTTTTATTAATTAAAAGGTTCTTTTGGCCGGAATCGAACACGCAAAACTGTTCTCTTCAGTGTGCACGACACATTTAGTTTAAGTCATTAGAGTAACTCCCCCTTATGAAATTGATCATGGCTGACAACGACAAGTTGAAAACGTATCTTTCTGGAGTGAAGTGAAAGGGATCCATGAATTTACATTACTTTCAATTGTGAAATATATTTACAAGGTTGGTATCATTAGGCTGCACATAAGACTTTACCAACACAGACCAGTGCGCTGACCCACGTAGAAGTGCGTTTCATTCATTGTAAAGATTGCCGCTATAAATTTGGCGGTATAATAATATGTTTATTTCAAACTAGCTGAGTTTCTAGTGACGACATTTACCTGTAGTTCAACACTAAGTGCGTGCGATCTTGCAGATTTGGGCTGTAATTCATCTCTCACAAGATGGCAGATATATCTGATGCTTGCCTTCCCAAAACGGTAGCGTGCCCTTACTTCTTCATCGCTCATGGATTCGAGGTGTTGAGTTCGTTTTCTGAAAACACGGTCTTTCCTTGTGCGTCCTAAGCGTTCAAACAATATGTTCGCGGCCATGTTTGTTTTTAATGACACGCTAATGCTGCCCCAGAACCTTCATTAAGTTAACTCTTTCATCACTGGCTGCCCCAGAGTTATGTCCCTTGAGACCCTGCAGTCCCTGACACTGACAAGGCCTGTACACTGGCCTCCCTGGCAGTATTATTGGAAAATCACACTATCATTTTTGATGCACTTTTTCTACCAGAAACTTGCTTTTAATATACATTTATCATATACTATTGTAAAGAGGATTAAGTATACTTTAATATTCTTTATTGTTATTGTCTCTAACCTTTGTTATTTTCTAATTACAGGTGTTTACAAGTGAAATAAAACTTGAAAACACTGAAAAAATGAAAACAGACAATGAATTTTGGCTCAAATTGTATTAAAAATCACAAAAATAAATCACAGATACAAGGTAAACATAACACAGTGGTCTTGTCATCTTGGACGGCGCAGGTAATCCCAGGTGTTACAGGTAAATTCTCTTCATGCACATCTGTAAACAAATAAACAAGTTTACAACTCTTGGTACTGACTTTGTTTTCTATACTGATGTCACATATTACATATGATACACTTACAGCCTCTTAGGTAAACTCGTTAACACAGGTAAACTTGTTAACGCAGGTAAACTCGTTAACACAGGTAAAAACACAAATATTTGATTTATTTTGTTCTTTTTCAGGATTTGAAACAAAAATTAAGTTTTTAAGTTTTTAAATAGTAATTTATCACATTACCTGAACATTGAACCACAGCTACTATAAAAATGACATCACAGAGAAGATATCACAGATTGATCTGAAAGGAGGGAAAAATTGTAAAAGGACGGAAAGATCGTAAATTCAAGTTCTGCAAATATACAAGTTGTGATAACATATTTACAATACACTGTTATTTACAATTGCATAATAAATTAAATCAGTACATTATTACATTAATTAATAAATAAATAATCATTACAGTTACTAAAATTTAAATTAAGATGTAAAAAAACAAGAAAACAAACATGAATATGGAAATAAATTTTATTCAAATTGAGCGAAATATAAGGACATACGACAAACCGGCAAACTACAATTCGGATTGCGATCAGAAACTTAAATTTAAAAAAAAAGAAAGAGATACGTCATGCCATTCACCTTTGTTGTTGTTGTGATCGCTCGTTCACCTGTAGGCTGCATTCTCATTCGTCGCACTGATAATCTGTTCAAACACAGAATCATTGTAAAACAGTTGGAAAAAATCAATAGCACGATATTTCACTCACCGTGTCAATATATATTCTTGATTCCGGTCGCCTCTTCAAAATCTCTCATGTCTCCACCGTTGTGGTCCCTCTGCCACTCCCATTCTTGAAAGTTGGCGGGGGGGGGACACCTCGTCGAAACCGTCAAAATCTTCACCAAAATCTTCACGAAATTCCCTCTCCCCTTCACGTAAATTATTCAAATAAAACACATTATTATACCCGATAGAGTCGTTGTTAGTCATCTGATCGCTATCCGAATCGTAGTTGGCCGCCATTACGCTAGATTTACGATTCAAGCGAGAAAAATACCTGTCGCGAAAACAGGTGACATTCGCGATTTTCGCGCCAAAAAGACTGGGAAATTCCAGCGAATGACGTGTCAGTCACATGTAAATCTCGTTTCCATATTTAGAACGAGATTACACACGAGAAAGGAAGTTGAAAGAGCGATTTTGTAAACACGGTCGCGCCGCCCGATTTATCGGGCAGCCGTGTGTGGGGCTTGGACAGTAGCCGCCCGATTTTTCGGGCAGCCGGGTACTGGGACACGGTTTATGCTGCCCAATAAATCGGGCAGTCGGGGCGAAAGGGTTAATGACGCGCTAATGACACCACGACGTCATTAAAACGTTAGTACAACTGGATTTAATAATACATTAGTTAATGAAGGTTTAATGACACGTTAATGCATCATTAAAGTTTGATACAACCGGGTCCAGGCTATTATATGATATAATAATATACATTATGGGTTTATATCCGGCTCAATGAAGCATCTGAAAAGATGGATACTGTTGATGGATTTCGATTACATCAAATAAGCGACATAAAACATTGAATAGAGAAGGAGAGGGAGTTGAGACTTGGATTGTATAAAAAGTATCGCAGAGCTGTGAATGCTCTCGATGGAGTTGACACTGCGCTTGTAACAGCTGGCATGGGACTCGGTGTAGCCGGTGTTGGTTTATTATCAACTATAATCACCGCACCTATCGTACTTGGCATGGAAGTAGCAGTCGGAGTCTCAGGACTGGCAGGAATAGCAATAAAATTTATTTCTTGTAGGTTGCAAAAGAAAGCATTAAAACATGATAATATTCGGATACTCGCCGAAGCAAAGTTGAACAGCATTGAGGATCATATTTCAACAGCACTGGCTGATTGTAAGATATCCAAGGAGGAGTTTCGTTTAGTGTTGTCAGAACTAACCAAATACAATGAAATGAAGCAGGAGATTTCGATAAAATTCTCGTAAGACCAGTGGTATTAGCGAAGACGAGAAAAAAAAGTTCATAGAACAGGGGAGACAACAAGCGCATCAATTATGCCATGCCAAAACCAAAGAACTGGTTGGAGATTAAAAATAGATTGCTTGATCACGTTGGATCACACCACAATAATTTAGACGAATGCTTACATAAGTATATAATAATGGAGCCAATCAAATGGCGAGAATTACCAGTGGGTATATATTATATCAGTGATGTCAAACCAACCAAATACGGTCATCAATTGTTTCTTTCCAATTTAGAAAAAGAGTATATAGTTTAGTCTCCTAGTAAAATGAACGAAGAACTTAGTAAAAATGTTGAATATCACTTTGTTCAAAATAATGGTATGTGTATGAGTAAAAATAATAGAGAATATTTTCATTACAATTTAGTTTAAAGTCTTGACGATTGTTGAATCGCATCAGCTTTTACACATTAAAAATTCCCTCTGTAGTAGCGGTATTGGTATATAAATCTGGCTCCAGTGGAAATGGAGCCAGAATCAACATTACCTATACTACTCTATCAGTCAATGTGATGTACAAAAATTCAAAATAAATGCAGTAGTATAGGTAATAGGGGTTCTGCCGCAACTCCACTGGAGCCAGATTTATATACCTATACCACCACTACAGAGGGAATTTTTTATGCAAAAATGACTATGCGATTCAACGATAGTCATGAGATTAAGTTAAATTGACTCTAGCTCACCACCACCTGGGGCCAATCAATGTTGTCATTAGTTCAGATGAGCCTAAATGGTAATGAAAATATTCTTTATTATTTTTATCAATAAAGCGATATTCAACATTTTTATTAAGTTCTTCGTTCATTTTACTAGGAGACCAGACTATATAACTACACTCTTCTTGGAAATTGATAAGAAACAATTGATAACCGTATTTGGTTGGTTTGACATCACTGATATAATAAAGACCTTGTGGTAATTCTCTCAATTTAATAGCTCTTTCGATTGTTGGGTTGTAATTCTCCATTATTATATATTTATGTAAGCATTTGTCTAAATGTGATCTAACAATAGTAAGCAATCTATTTTTAATCTCCAACCAGTTCTTTGGTTTTGGCACGGAATAATTGACGCGCTTGTTGCCTCCCCTGTTCTATGAACTTTTTTTTCTCGTCTTCGCTAATACCACTGGTCTTATGAGATTTTTATCGAATCTCATGCTTCATTATGTTGTATTTGGTGAGTTCTGACAACACTAAACGAAACACCTCCTCGGATATCTTACAATCAGCCATTGCTGTCAAAATATGATCCTCAATGCTGTTCAACTTTGATTCGGCGAGTATCCGAATCTTATCGTGTTTTAATGCTTTCTTTTGCAACCTACGAGAAATGAATTTCATCGTTATTCCTGCAAATCCTGAGACTCCAGCGGCTATTTCCATGCCGAGCACGATAGGCGCGGCGATTATAGTTGATAATAAACTAACACCTGCTACACCGAGTCCCATGCCAGCTGCTACAAGCGCGGTGTCAACTCTGTCCAGAGTGTTCACGTCTCTGCGATACTTTTTATACAATCCAAGTCTCAACTCCCTATCCTTCTCGATTCGAAGTTTTATGTCGCATATTTGATGTAATCGAAATCCATCAACAGTATCCATCTTTTCAAATGCTTCATCGAGCGCCGGATCTAAACCCATAGTGTATATTACGGTCATATAATAGTCTTTAATTGATTTTGCTTAAATGTTTTGAGAGTATACATCAACCTTATCAAATGTATATTATACGGCAAGAATATCTTAGAAAGAGAAATGCTGTCACTTTTAATAATTTGGACCCCCTCGAGGGTTGCAACTGGTGATGCTCCGATATGAATAATACTGCAACGTCTACGCTCGTGTTTCTTTAGCCATTTAATCGATAGACCTGGTAATATTTCGAAGGCATTTTCCGGTGCATCTCCGAACTCTCTTCAATAATAAGCGTAGAAATATGAGGTATTGCACTCAAGTTAACTTTAATATCACTGAATTCAGTAACCAAATTTAAACTAACATTTTTTATGGCCGGACAACTCAATAACATATGACCTGGGTCTTCTGGCAGGGGAGAGACTAACACACTTTTTCGTTTTGACGGGATATAAGCCGCGAGTACGATGCCACTATTTATTATCTTAGTTAAATTATGTCCCTTACCCATCATCACATACGGTGGGGTAATGATGATATTCAATAGCCACTCGATTTTTGCGTCGACCATAGTCCGTACAATATTACTCGCAACGACGATAAAAAATGGACTATGGTCGACGCAAAAATTGAGTGGCTATTGAATATCATCATTACCCCACCATATGTGATGATGGGTAAGGCACATAATTTAACTAACGTCGACATCGCTTAAATCTTCTAGATTACCCGTGAATGTAACTTCTTTCCGCTTGTATACATTATCTTGTAAGTGTAAAGCGTATAACTTACCATCGGTACCGGGTCTACCAAATCCTTCTATGTCTCCGAGATCGGAAAGCGCAATTGTATTACATTGTCTGAGCGTTCCAGGTCCTGATTTATCAACCATTATTTATAATATGGAGTGTTACACTTAAGTATCCTATATGTACAGGTTGGTGTTTTACATCTAATACAGAAATTTTGAGGTCTGAAATAATACCACGCTTTAATTTTTTATATTGTAATGATGAGAAAGATTCCGTTCTACCGCTATTATATTTTTCATTTTTCACTGGAATAGATCTGAGTAGAGTTGAAGGACTTTCTAGTTGAATATTATCCGTCGTGCTTATTTGATCAAGATGGATGCACAACTCTTTATAGGGAACTAAATCGGGTAATCCACGTCCCGGTGCTGATGAATCGATTACTGTTATTTCTCCTCTCCATCCAAGTGTATATGCTAATCTATTGAAAATCTTTACAACCTTTTTTCCAGCGGCAAAATTCAGTATCCCATTCGACTCATTTTGTGTGAGACTAGCTCCATTAGGCTTAAAAATTTCATCATTGAGTGAGCATATGCTGTAATACCCATCAGGTATAATAATGGTGTCGTAAATATTATTGCCATCTAATGTTTGTATCTTATTATTATTTCTCGCAGCATTTATATTGGTCCACAGCGGGTAATACGTTACATCGCATAGAACGACTTTGAGTTGTCCATCCGAGTTATTGATAGTATGAAGCAGTTGAATAGACTGACCATTTGTTATTCCCGGGAGTGTAACATACATATTAAATATACAATGATACTATATCATAACTTAAATATGAAATCGAGATACATTACTAATCAGTCGATTATAGTAACTGCCTCTGGATTTGAACTGAATAAGTTTTATTATTTCACATATACTATCAGATTACACGTATACTTAAAGAAATTAGTGCTCCATTACCGCAGGATCGAGCATGGAATTCCACAAATAATCCATATGATAAGAGGGCCTTCGAACGTATTTGTAATGAATTTAATGTTTCTACGGGAACAGATTGGCGTATTAAAGGAGCTAGCCATTATATATATAACCCGTGTTTGGTTTCTCAACTGATCACTTGGTTTGTTTCAGTTGTTTCACATAGGTGTCAAGTCTCAAAGGTCAGCTGAGAAAGCCCACGTGACAACTGTTTTCATAATGTCCACGGTTCTTTAAAAAAATCCATTGAGTTTGATAACAATGAGCAATCAATCAACGTTATATCGGCTTTGAACAAAGTATGTTGTTTTCACATCGGCACTTCACGCCCAGATATTGGGGTATTTCGTCTGCTTTAGGAAACATACACATGTAAACGCTTACTTTTGAAAAATCCACTGTGCAAAATAACAGTGATTATTCAATCAACGTAATTTCTGCTGATCCTTTGATGGCGAGGAATGATGGTGATCCCTCCTCTTGCTGGGCTGAAACGTGCATATTATATGACATACATTTCACCTCACTTCAAACCGGGATTCGGTTTCAACCTGGATATGAATTGAATAAATACCCCAGACACACGAAATGCCTAATGGGAACCTTTATCAGGTAATCTGAGTGGTGCCTCCAGTAATTATACCTGTAATAAATTAACTGAGCATCAATTGAATGACGACAAATACACAAGTGTAGGGTTATACCAGAAAACATGGATGACAACTAGGGAGTTGTTTACACACGCAATCCGAAATCCGAAAAGGCTTTCACTGCAGGGATACTTTTCTTATTATAAACTATAACCACCAGGGGTATTTCCAAATAACGACATCCGATGAGCTACTGTCGTTCTTTTTGTCTGTTTGTTTAGGCTGAAGAAATTTATTAACATGCGCCCTTTGTCCAAATCTTTATAGATCACGGGTAACCAATCAGTGTTGAAAAATGCGTAAAACAAATATTGCCTCCAAGTTTATTTAGCTGTCCTTGCAGACAGTAGCCCAGTCTCTTGTCACGCTCAGTTGCGTT